CCACCCGAGGGATTAATAAAGTTCTATCTTATCTTATCTTATCTTAGCCGGGTCATATCTACTTAAGAGAGATGAATGATTAAAAAAACCCCAAATAAAACAAAAATAGTATTTCTTGCATTTTCTTTTTGATACATTATATTACAGCTTAAAATAAAGCAACTGTTCTCCCTTCTCCCAGCCATGCTCTCCTTTTCAACTCCCACCGCTCTCTACCTGAGCCTCCTCCTCCTCTTTCTGTTGTGCCTCTCCCCTGCTCTTTCTTGTCAGACTGGGACTCAGAGCCAGTGTATGTCTGCTCCCTTTGTGCCTGGTTATGACCTGGCAGGGGAGGGCTTTGATGTTGTTACACTTAAGCGAAAAGGAGCTTATGTGATTGATGTGAAGACCTACCTTACTCCAAGAAAAACCTGTACACTCTGCACCAACCCTCATAAAGGCGGCCAACTGCAGAAAGTAACTAAATATTATAGTAATTAATAAAAAACATGTCAAAAATTACTTTGGCATACCATTAACATGCTAAACCTGTTATTAATTATATTTCCAGCTACCAGTCTCTACTTTGGACTGGCGTACATTCAACCGCTGCAGTTTTCGTCTCGAGGACAGTGAACACACCTCCATCAGGTATTCTAGGACTTAGAAACATAATCACTCATTGTGCCCTGACAGGTTTCATACATTACTTTACATATTCATAGATGTCATCCCACCCACATGGCATACATTAATTAATTTGATCAAACAATCATTTAATAATTGCAAATCATTTTTTCCTACTGGAATATTTTGGGGAATTAAGCAAAATAATTTCTCTACAGTTCACTGGTCAGCACATACACCGACCAGAGCAGCATCGACTGGAAGGTAGGAAACATTCATGTTGAGTGAAACATGGATATAATGTTACTATTACTGCAAACTGTTGATCTAGTCCTGTAATCATTCCTAGCTCCATGTTTTAAAAAGTCCTATGACTGAGCATTGTAAGGACATTATTTAAAGAAAAAAAGAGAAGAGAAATACAGTAACAAGGCATATAAACATCATACAGTGTGGAACCCCTCTGTTTATTGAGGAAAATCATCCCACTTTTGCTTTAATATGTAGCTCTAGGTAAGAAAGCATTGCCTGCAATAACATACACACACACACCACGCACAGTAATACACAGTAACAGAAGGTTGTGAGAACAGTGTCTATGTATAACCTATAAAAGTAACGAGAAGGTGTTCTAACTTGTGGAAGGATCTTAAAAAAGAAACATTTCGTTTTCCCAAAAATCCCGTTTCCTTGTCAGGTGTTTCTCAAGAGTCCTTAGAGTGAGACTAGTACTTCTCCTAGTTTTTTGTTTTTTTTATAACAATCAATAATTTAAATGCTATGACTATAATTCCCTCGAAGCAAGGCAGACGCAAGTGGTTTTCCGTCACTGGTTTATTTGAAGACTTCTCTCCAAAGTCACCGTGAAAACTACACACCATTAACAAAATAAAAACTCAATGTAAGACACAGCACCTAAAATAACACTGTACAACAAAACGAGATATATCAATAAATACCTCGTTGGCTACATGCTGCAAAAAGGGAATTAGTCACCATTCTTCTGAAGTTTCCTTATAAGTGTGTATTTAAAGCCCATTCCACTTAGTGTGACTTTCACTAAAGAACGGCCTCATTCGCGTAAGCTCCGCGCTTACAGGTGGTTTTCTCCTTTTTTCTCCCAAAAAGGAAACAGCGCGACTTGTAAGCAAGCTTGACTTTCAAAATAAAAGCACAATAAGTTTAACTACATAAAATAGCATAGCATAAATAATGTAAAGCTTAAACAATTTACAACGATGACATGGACCTTGAGAAGATAAAGAAATAATTCAAATGATATAAACAATGTCATCATGCCAACAACTACATGACCATGCATTGTTTGGACATGGACAATAAGCTGGTCTAAGCTGGCACTACTTCCAAGAACTTTGCAACTTGTTCTCCAATGTGAGCCTTTCTCTTCTTTTTGTAATATTCCTCTTGACTGTATATATTTCTCCTGTTTGTTATTTATTCCTGCTGTCTTATTACAGTGTTTCTCAAATGCTAAAACACATGTCACACAGCAAATTCAAAAGTGTTAAATGT